GAGTCCTGCTGAAAGACAACAAAATCAATCAGAAAGTAGTTTTCTTGTTTCCAGAGTAAATTCATATACAAAAGGAAATAACTTGTTGAAAATTCACTTTCCCAGCCTCTTAATAATCAGTGGGTATCAATGTAATGAAACCCGGACCATTCATGAACTCAATAGAGAACCCGGATGGATAATCTTTTGCCAGATCACAAAATCACCATTCTTATGCCACAGCCTTAGAACACCCAATTATTTTCTTCAGATTCCACAAGGATAGTTCAAGATGGTCAGATGAACAATGAAACATGGTTCATCTGAGGAAGCACTCCACATTCACTTTTATGAAGAAATTAAAGTGATAGAGTAGGGATAAAAGAAAATGAATATGATATTTACACTCAAGTATTCAACACGCATATGGGGCATCAATACTACTATTAATAATTACCATGGTCTCCAGCTTGTGCTGTTCGTATGCTGCATAAACCTCTTCAATGTAATCACCAAATCCAAGAACCTGAGGGGAAAGGTGCAAATCAATTAACAAAATAAAATCAGATATGCAGTATGTTTAAAAACATCAAATAAACCCATGATTGACAACCCCATACAGTTGTGTTTAAAAATAAGCCTATGCTGAGTTTGGAACACTTCTGACTTCAGAATTGAAAGAAAAAAGAAATCATTTTCAAAGAAATATTCTTTTTTTGAGGCATTCCTAAATCCTAATGGCTAAAATATACATGTAGAATATATAGCAGAAAACACGCATATTGCTATGATCTATTATCAAAAGTCTGCAGGAAACCAAAATATATTATTTTTTCAAGGAAAAAGGCCAATAACTACTTTGGCTTCAGGGTAAGCCACAAATAATTTTAAACCTTACTGCAACATCCTCCGACTTGCTAGATGAAGAAAGCATTATTTTCTTTATATTTCCAAATTCCAACAAAATAAATGCATTTACTTTTTCCATTTAACTCTTTTATAATGTATTAGGAGGATATAGCATTATTCATAAGATAATATCTTATGAGTATTGAGCGCACACATTTTATTGTCTGGTAAGTGGAGAAACAACATTTAGTAAGATCACTTAATCTGTAATCAACAAGGATGGCCTAATCAGGTATCAAGTATTTCAATTTCATACGATGGTAACTTATGCTCATTGTCAAGTCTCATCATAGATAAGAATGCAATGGCAATTTTGACCATGAAGACGTGATTTTTTCCACGAGCCATTTCCTCAGAGAAAGAAAAAAAAAATGTTACTATTAAAAATTAATCTTAAACCCTTTCAACTCCGCTTCCTTAAACTGTGTCACTAGGAACCTTTGTCAGATGAAATATTTCACAGCAAACATAAAGCCATCCAAGATAAATGCATTGTGTCATATGAACACACAAATATAAACTGGACCACATCCACATGCAGAGCTTTAGAGATACAAAGGACGGACAAATACCTGTAGAGCCTTCAACACATGCTCTGGTGCGATTGTCCGTTTTTCCTCTCTGTTACAGACTTCATTGGATTCTGACGATATGAGATTTATAAACTCTACAATGACAAATCAACAACCAACTTTTTAATCCTTAAGAAAAGTAAACTAAGAATATGAAGCAGGAAACACTAATCTGAATCTCAGACTAAACTTTCAAATCATATAAGCAAAGAAACACATGTTTTGCATGTCTATAACATAGATACACAAGCAAACAATGATGTATTTCAAAGGCGCTTGTAACATAATGATATTATTACACATGAGATTCTAGTAATTCACAGCTCATATGATATGTTTGGGTTGGGAAACAGCACGCAGAGATGAAACCATGACAGACTTCTGTGGGGTGATGCAATGGGCAGAACAAGGTCTAAGAGAGAGCAGGGAACAGTGAGAGTGAACAGAATAGAAAGAACAGAATAGAACATCGGAGATAGTGCCAGAGAACAGTGAGAGACTTCGAAGGTGCCGGAAAACATCAAAAATGGCCACAGATGGTGTCAGAAAATAATGAATTATCTTTCTAAGACACAAGGCGCACATGATTGTTTCAGAATATGGTTTTGATTTTGAACCCCAAAGTAGAGAAGCGAAACCACATAATTGTCCCCCAAAATAAACCTCAGACAACACAATATTGTGGGGACAAACAGGGGCTTTCAATCACTAATCAAAGTTGTGCCCCAAATGCGGCAGTGATTCACACTGCCCCAGAACAACAGCTAGCTGCATCGCAATGGGCTCCAATGCAGTGGCCCACAGCCACGACACAACAGTGCTATAGCACTGCCATAGTGTGTGATTGACAACTCTTTATAATCCATGCCAAATGCTTGGCAGTTAACCTTAACAGACATCAGAAAAATAGCAATAGCACAATCATCAATTGTGTGCAACTGAGATGCACGTTTAAATTCAGATTCTATATAAAAGCTTGAACTAAAAGCATTGAGACAACAAATCAAACACAATAAAATGGCAGCAAAATTGTTATTGACAGCAAAATTCTGACCTACACAACACTCAATCAAAAGATCTTGGGCATCCCTTGCAACACGAACATCCGGGGGTAACATCTCTTTAATAATTTTTGTCATTGTTGCTGCCAAAAATTCAGAAATTCGGTAAGCAATAGAACAATGATGCATTACCAACAAAAAGAAAACATTGAGATTGACTATCAAATGCCACAAATATTAAAGGAACCAAACATCACTATTCATTATTAATTAGCAACATTTCATCAATTAAACCTTTCTTAAACGAACATTAACTATCGGTTTCTTTTAATGATTAATGAATAACTAATAACGTTAAAAAGTGAGCATTTTGATATGACCACAAATCCACATTACACTTTTAAGAATTGATAACAAGAAAAACACGTAAGAAATAGTAATTATAATAGCAAAACCAAAATCCATTGACTAATAGTACAACCTTCATGAAACTAACGTCAGGTTATGGCTATCAAATCAATGCCGTAAAAAATGACAAGAAAGCCATCTTTAAGATCAGAAATGATTACCCAAAATCTGTTAGCTAATAAGTAAACACTTACTGAAACTAACGTACTATTGCTGGCTATCAGGTAGCTTGCAAAAACCGACAAGACTTTTTTTAATCAAAAAAGATAAACCGTAAAAAAAACAGATTGAAACACTTCGACATGATCAGATTTCATTGGAAATTAACTTTTCTTTGGATCCATCCACGTACCATCAAGCGAAACCTATCAATAAAATACCTAATCGATCACCTTTTGAAACCCTTCATACTAAAGAACAGTGGTTTTTTTTCTATAAACCTTACGCCAGGTCAAACTTTCAACATTCCATAAAAATGAGATTTCAAAAATCATTAATTATCATTGGAAAACGCCATCGCAGGCGCACACAACTAAGCTAGGCAACACGTCTATGTTTTGCTGTATATGATATACGACATGCAGAAATGCCAATGTCTACTCATCAATCAGAAACATAGCTTCAGGTAGTAATTATGATCTCACTTGGAGTGCAGTCTAAAAACAGTTTTATCACGTCCCTTACTTTACCAGAAACCCATTTTTCATCATTTCCAAAGGAAAAAAAAAATTGCATCACGAGACATTAGCCCTAAGATGTCACAAAAACCTAGACACATAGTATTTCAGACAATTTATGTTCTTTTTGTCAGCAATCACCAGAGAAACAAAATTCAGCTGTGCAAAAACCAAACTAAATCCAAAGAACCCGATAAGACTATACTATTGAATTAAATTCACGAAAGGAGGAAGGCGGGAAAAAAACCTTTAGGAAGCGAAGCGTCTTCCTTTGATTTGCCAACGATGTCCATGGGCTCCATGATTCAACCTAAAATCGAAAGAAAGGAATAATTAGGGCAGAAATACATAAAATAAATAAATAAATAAAAATGGCAGATCTGAAGGGAAAGA